GAAGGCAGTCGCTTAACCAACTGAGCCACCCAGGCGCCCCGACATATGTTTAACTTTACAAGAAACTTCCAAATTGTTTAAAGCGACTGTACTTTATATATCCCCACAGGTGGTATCTGAGTGCTCGGGTTCCTCTACATTCTCACCAGCACTTCTATTCGTGGGTCTTTTTTAGCAGTTGTAGCTCTGTGGTTTTAATGTATATCTTTTCCCATAGCTATTTGTCATCTACATATGAAGTGTCTTTTTTTTGGTGAAGTGTCTGTTCAAACTTTTTTACCATTTAAAAAACCATATTGTTTTCTTATTGCTCAGTTTTGAGATGTCTTTATGTATTCTGAACACAAGTCCTATGTCCGATACATGCATTGCGAATATTTTCCTCCAGTCTGTGACTTATCTTCTCATTCACTTAACTGTGTTGTTGAAGAGAAAATGGTTTTAATTTTGATGAAGTTCTTTTTTCTATTTTTGGCCTTTTATGGATTGTGCTTTGGGTGTTGTATCCAAGAAATCTTTGCCTAACCTAAGGTATCAAAGATTTCCCTTATGTTTCCTCTATGTGTAAGGAGTTTCTAATCTTATGTTTACATTTAATCATAGGCTCCATTTTTGGTTAAGTTTTTTACACAGTGAGAGGTATGGCTTGACGTTTATTTTTTAGAATTTGGACATCCAATTGTTATAGCACCATTTGTTGAAAACAGTAATCTTTCTTTACTAAATTGCTTGTGTACCTTTGTCAAAGGCACATTTATGGATAACAAAAACCAGCTGACTGTGAATGTGTGGATCAATTTCTGGACTCTATAATCTTTCAATCTCTTCTGACCTACTGGTCTCTCTTTATGCCAAAACGACACTAACTTGATTATTGTACCTTTACAAGACGTCTTGAAATCAGGTGGTGTTAGCCCTCCCACTCTGTTCTTTTTCAAAGTTGTTTTAAGTTAATATGGGTCCTTTGCAACCCCATATAAATTTTTAGAATAAACTTGTCTACTTCTTTTAGAAAAAGACCAAAAAAAACCAAAAACAAAAACCCAAACCATGCTGGAATTTTGATTGGGATTACACTGAATCCACAGATCAATTTGGAGACAAACTGACATCCTAAGAATATTGTGTCTTTCAACCCATGAACAACATATCTCTCTCCAACTATTTAGGTCTTTAATTTCTCCCAGCAGTGTTCCATGGTTTTGAGTGTGCAAGTGTTTCACATCTTTTGTCAGAATTATCCTCAGGTATTTAATTTTTTCTGATGCTATTATAAGTTGTATTTGGAAAAATTTCAGTATCTGGTTGCTTATTGCTAATATATAGAAATACAATTGATTTCTGTATATTGACGCTTCCTACAACACTGTCAAACTCACCTATTAAATTCTTATAAATTTTATCAGATTTTCCACAAAGAACATCAAACCATCTACAAATAAAAGACAGTTTTACTTCTTTCTTATTGATAACTTTTATTTCCTTTTCTTGCCTGACTGCACTAGCTAGAACCTGCAGCACAATCTTGAATAAAAGTGGTAAAAGTGAATAACCATGTCTTGTTCCTGATCTTAGGGGAAAAAACATTTAAAAGCATTTAGTCTTGCATTATTAAGAATGATTCTAAATGCAGGTTCTTCATAGATGCCCTTTATCAGGTTGAGAGAGTTCCTTTCTATTTCCAGTTTGCAAGAACAGGAGTTAGATTTTGTCAAATGCTTTGCATCTATGAGATGATCACTTGGTTTTTCTTTTACAATTTGTTAATTACGGCTTGTTAATATGGTGAATTACATCATGTGATTTTTTTCTAATATTAAACCAACCTGAATTTTTGAGATAGGTCCCACTGGGTCATGATGTATTATCCTTTTTACACATTGTTGGATTTGACTTGCTATAATTTTGTGTAGAATTTTTACATCTATGTTCATGCAGAATACTGATCTTTCCTTATATGTCTTTGTATGCTTTGGTATCAGAATAACTCTGGAGTTGGAAATTTTCTCTACCATTTTCTCTTCAGATCACCACTATGAAGTAGGTCTAATTATCTCCTCTTAAAAATCAGGAAACTGAAGATGAAAAAGAATAAATAACTTGGTTCAAGGCATAAAGCACTAAAGTGGCCAATGCCAGACCTGAAATTAGGTAAGACCTCAAATTCTAGCTACCCTTACAAAAGGGTACTTTCTTACGCTACTGACAGAGACTTTATAATTATTTTGAGAACAAGCTTTTGTTGTTGTTTTTAAATCATACATAAGTAAATATTTAAATGATTAAAATAAAGCTAAATTAATAGATGGCTAAACACATGGTCTTTGGTGATTTAACTTGGATATATGGACACATATATTTTATTGAGTTAAATATAACTGCAATAAACAATTCCACTCACACCAACGAAGGTAAGTCATGTATCACTCACAGATAGCCACGGAATCTGTTGAGGTCATTGTTTGGACTTTCACATTCTATCTTACTGGAGAATTTCTCTGGGTCAACTTCAGAGTCCTAAAAATAAATAAATTAATTAATTAAATAAATAAATAACTATATATACATTTTAAATCACAACGTAAGAAGAATTCAATGTCAAAAAGATGACATTTTTACGTATATCACTTAATTTGCATTAAGCATATATGTGGACATTCTGAGCATATATACATTTAATTCCAACACACTGTATTTAAAATTTAAAAATAAGCTGGACATCAGCATCTTACAAAATTCTCTAATGGATTAAATGATAATTTTAGAATGCTTGATGAAACCAATGAGCAAATAAGCAAAGGGTTTTTATAGAACGTAGGCACAGATTCACTAAGAATAAGCCATGTGAACTTTATCTCATTTCCTTGTTTTTATATGAATGTTTGCCTAATAAAAGAAATACTATTGATATATCTTGTAATGCAATAACATATCACGGCAAATGTATGGAAAATCTGAGTTATATAATCATATGATTTGATTTGTTAATCAATTTTTTGAGTTCTTCTGATGTACCAGAATCTCGACTATGTACTTTAAATATATTAATTTCTTCTTTAAAACCCCATGAGGTAGGTGTTATAATGAGGTCTAATTAACAGATAAAGACAGAGAAGCACAAAGAAGATCAATAATTTGCTATAGGTTTCCACATAAGGCAGTCTTTAGAAATAGGACTGCAAACTAGGTCATGGGATTCCAGAGCACTGACCCTTAACTGAATCCAAAGTGTGATGACTAATCAACTGCCATTACCCTTAAAGTAGGTACTTAGTGGTATTTAATAGAATCTCAAATTGTATAAGATTTTTACCAATGTCTTAGTTATATAAATGCTCACAAAAGTGACAATGACAAGCTAAGAGGCATATCAATCACAGGATCCAAATTAAATCCAGAGAAAGAAAGATGGCCCATTGTTACATCAGATGATGAAATTTATTGAAGATTAGGGCATTTAGTTTACAAGTATAAGATGAAGGAAACCTGACTTAACAGTTCAGTTTTAAAAAGACCATTATTTATTTTTTTTAGTTTTGATACTTGCATGCTTGTTATTTTTTAAGTTTTTTATTAACATATAATGTATTGTTTGTTTTGGGGGTACAGGTCTGTGATTCATCAGTCTTACATAATACGCAGCGCTCACCATAGTACATACCCTCCCCAGTGTCCATCACCCAGCCACCCCATCCCTCCCACTCCCCTCCACTCCAGCAACCCTCAGTTTGTTTCCTGAGATCAAGAGTCTCTTATTGTTTGTCTCCCTCTCTGGTTTCGCCTTGTTTCATTTTTCCCTCCCTTCCCCTATGATGCTGTTTCTTGTTTCTCAAATTCCTCATATCAGTGAGATCACATGATACTTTTCTTTCTCTGACTGACTTATTTCGCTTAGCGTAATACCCTCCATTCACAGCGTTGCAAATGGCAAGTTTAAAAAGACCATTCAATTTTAAAATACTTCATCTCAAGTGTTTCCAGAGAAAGGGAAAGGAAACTGATATGTAAGCACTATCCATGACATTTTTACATATATTACTTCATTTGCATCTCACAGCAAAGCTATGAGGCAGGCATCATTGTTTCTACTTTAAGATGAACTGATACATAAAATAAGTGACTTGCCCAAGGTCACACAGTAATTAAATATCAAAGCAGGAATTCATTCAAACTCATGTTAATATAACTTTAAAGTTCTTGTTTCCCTCACCACAGCAGGGTCTAGAAAGGTCTAGAAGCTCTGTGGCCAAGAGAAGCTACACGAATCTCAAAAGGTCTGGGTATAGATGCAATTACAGATTCTAGGAAGAGAAGGTGATTATTTCCATTGCAAAATAACTCTCCAAATTGCAAAATAATTCCATTTCCTTTAATTCAGTTCCAAAAAATATAGGATTGCCAGACTAAAATGTGTGAACTTCAAAGTCATTATATCCTATTATCTATAAAACACTTCCACAGAGAGCTGGAAATGGATTAAGTCCTCTGGGGTTCTATTTTGTAATAGTAAAAATGAATTTAAAAATCTCTTTATATGTACCTGTGAAAACCTTCTGAAAAGAAAATGTTAACAAGTCACCAACTGAGAACATATTATTTACCTGCTCTGCATATCCTCGAACCACCTGCCTCTGTTTTAAATTGCTCTCTCCATCAAGACCAGAAGTCTCAATGTGACAGATTCCATCTGGATCAGTAGAAAAGAGTAAGACCATGTCTGCAGGAATAACCTCATTACAGGAAAGGCGAATAAAGTCCCCAACAGCAACATCTTTCCAGCACTGGTCGACATATCTTTTCTCTTTCCTAACATTGGGGGGAAACAAAAGTATAAAGAGAGTATGAAGACAGAAACATATATAATCTTATTTTTTCAGTTTTGTGTATAATTTAAAGCATGTTTAAAGCCTTAGGGTGAATTTTAATCCATTAAATGTTAAAAGGGAAGCCAGAGAAAACCTAAATTCCAGAGTTTGTTTCACCTGAAAATTGAGTTATTGAGCTAATAAAACATATTTCTCAGCTCCTTTGTCCTTTGAGGTTTTGAACTATTATGCTGTTTGAGGTGTAACTGGAATAAAATGAACATTTGCTGGGTTTATTCACGTACAACACAATCCCTGGGTACTGCTCTGTTGTCAGGTATCAAGGATCCAGAAATGCACAAGACACATCTACTCTCACAGCGCTTCCTGTCTGATAGGATGAATTAAAGAAAACACCAAAGAAGTAAAATAAAAATAAAATGAGGGGCGCCTGGGTGGCTCATATGGTTGGGTGTCTGCCTTTGGCTCAGGTCATGATCTCCCGGTCCTCGAATCAAGCCCCGCATCGGGCTCCTGGCTGGCTCAGCAGGGAGTCTCCTTCTCCCTCTCCCTCTGCCTCTCCCCCTGCTTGTGTGCTCTCTCTGTCTCTGTCTCTCTCTCTTAAATGAATAAATGAAATCTTAAAATTTTTAAAAAAAAATGAAATAAAATGAATACTCAACATTTCAAAAATTATTATACTACTCATTAACACCTCTAATTATCACTTAATAGAAATACTGGTAAGACAGTCCTGAGGGCAAAACTTGTATACTTTCTGCTCTACAGAATTATATCCGTTATTTCAAGAAATATTTAGCTTAAAGGGCTATCTAAGAAATACATTTTCAGGGCTTATTTTCCCAAAATATCTAATGCACCAGGTTGAATCCAACTAAAGGAAATCCTTGATTACCTAAAGAGTTGGTTAGTTCACAGAGAAAGGCAAATCAATGATTTTGTCCTTACCATTCTTTTTCCTAGTGTTTGTGCACACCCGTTCACTCTTCGTGGAGGAAAGTAAGAGAGAACATCCGAAAACATAGGTATGGGTCATATTTCAAAGGTTCAGTCCTAAAAGTCTAGGAGTAGTGATTTCATTCCATAGAAAATGGGGAGTCACAAGGTTCACCAGAAGGAGGATGGGATACTACTTCCATTTACTAACCCCTGCGACAGAGTAACGGATGGACTTTGGGTGTCAAGCTAGTTTGGTGTAGGAATGGCCAAAAAAACCAATGTAAAGTTATTGAAATAATTCAGGAGAAGAATGAAGATGGTCAGAAGGCAGCAGCAACAGGGATAAATAGAAGATTAATTCAAGACATATTTGGGTTTTTTGACTTAACTACATGTTTTAGGACTTACTACACCATATTTTATGACTGAACTACATGTAAAGGAGTTACCAAGCATGACTCTACAGTCTCTAACTTGTATGATGGGATGATGAATGGTGCCTTTCACCACATCTCAAATTTTCAATCAACTGGTTGCATGAGAGGGCAGATAATAAACTCAGATTGGAAAGTTTTTATCTGAAGCGGGATGTGAAAAAGAGGATGTGCAGCAATTTGAGGGTTCTGATCCTATGCTCATGGGTACAGATATAAATGTGGAAGTCCTAGGAACATAGAGGGCAGGTGACACCAGGTAAGGACATGAGATTCCTTAGGGAAGGAGACTTCAAGGTAATAAAGAAGTGGAAGGAGACCCCAGAGAAAGTAATATCAGAGAAATCCAGAGAGAAGGAAACTTCAAAAAGGGAGCAATCCTAGTGAAGCAGCAAAGGGTCAAAGCCTATGGTATTCAGTGATTAGGATGTCTGTTGACTATGGAAAATGCTGATAGAATGAAATTGTTGCTGGGAGTATGAATAAGGAAGTGAGACCTCCACGAACCAGAGAGGGACTGGAAGTTTAAGAAGTAGAATATTTCATGATGTTTAGCTATGAAAGGAAATAAGGGGTAAAAGCAGCCACTGCAATGAAAGGTAAGTCAAAGGACAAAGGATGAGAGTAACTGGACATGAACATGAGATGTAGGAAAGGAGTCCATGGAACAGGCAAGGTATAAGACAGAGCACTGTGTGGGGGATGCTGGTGGAAGCTATAAAGAAACAAGGAATGGGATTAACAACATAGAGGAAAGGATTCCTATCACAGTAAAGGGAGTTGCCTCTTCATCTAAGGTCAGAAGAAAGTTGTTGAAAATGTGAATGATGCACGAAGGAATGGGGGGTACACAATTCATGTTTCATGGCCTCTACTTTTTCTGTTAGGAAAGCTACAAGGAAAATTTGCTAAGAATTTGTAAAGATAGGAAGAGAAGACAGACTTGACTCTTAGGGTTAGGAATTTTATTTTTCTTTCAAACATAAGAAGTAGGATTCCTCTAAAGGACAAGTTTATTTATTCTACATTGGAACAAAATTTAAATGAAGCCAATTTCATAATTAACTTCATTTTTCCCTATTTGGAGTGTACACCAGGATTTCAAAAAAATACCTAATTTGCCCAACAGCTAGCTAGTTCAGGTCAATAAACATCTACGGGCCTTAATTTATGCCAGTTACACATTAGGTGCTAAAAATACACAAATGGTTAATAAATGGTCACCACCCTATACAAGTTATGGTTGAAATCAGAAATAGAGACACAAACAGTACTTTCATAAGAGAGAGGTATGCATGCCCAGGTTACTATGGGAGCCAATAGTTGGGGTTAGCCCTGGAGGAGGTGAATCTTGATGGATGACCAAGAGTGACTCAGGTGAAGAAAGGTGGGACAGTGTATCAGTCAGGATGCAAAGACATAGGGCAAGAGAGAGCTCGTGTGTAAAAGCAACTGCAAGCCAGTGACAATGCTCACTCTGCCACATTTAACTAGCTCTGAAGATTTTTCATTGTGGTAGACTCAAAATGAGACTATATTTCCTTACCCAACAAAGAATTAAAGCTAGTGAAAGGACCTTCTTCTCCCACAGCTGAATGTTCAGCTAGAATTTCGTGCATCTACTTGGTTATATGTGCTTCTGAACTACTCTCATTGGACAGAACATTGCTCTCACAATTCCTCCTTCAGGCAAACTTCTAGACCCATTTCGTTTCTTTAAGAGTTCAAGATCACACATCTTTGCTACATAAGCCTTGGGACACACTGGACTATTAACTGTGATTCCACTGGAGTGGGAGGAAGGGGAGAGGTAAGAAGGAAGGGTGGAGAATGTAAACTTCTACTTCTTGCTTCAACAAATTTAAAGAGAGAAAGATGAGAGTTATGAACAAATTTTTCTCTTTGACTTTTTTAGCATTTTCCCATAAAATCCTAAAAAAACTCATAATAAGCAAATAATGAATAATCATTGCATACAACAGCAAAGATTTATCAGATGCTCTATATTCACCAGCTGATTTAATTTTTGTATCAATGTTATGTGGTTGGTCCTATAAATGAACTATGATCCCTGCCCCCCTGCCTTTATAAATAAGAAAAACTGGTTTTGGCAAATTAAGTAACTTGCTCAAAGTCACACAGCTCCTAAGTGGTCCTGGGACTTAAAACAAGGCTGGTAGCTCCAGAGCCCATCTCTCAAGAAGCAGACTTTACTCCAGCTAGAATAGTCACTTCCTGATGACCACCAAATAAAAAATGTTTTAGTTGTATATTAGAAAGTGAATTTGAAGAACCATCACTTTTGAAAACATCACACAAAAGGTTGATTACCTTAGAAGGCCACTGATATTTAGTCTTATTTTAAGAAGCATGAAATTCTATGAATTTACAAGATTCATGAATTTATGAGATAGTCCTAAAATGTTAACATCAGCCAGTATTTTGAAACTCCTAAAATCAATACAGTGATTTTTAAAGATCAGAAACTAATGTAGGGTCCTGGAGGGAAGGCATTGTATCTATTTTTTTTTTTAATCTATTTTTCCTTTAAATCTCAATCTCTCAGTGCCTACAACACAGTAAGGCACTCAAATTTGTTAAGTGATTAATAGTTTTGTTTTCTTTTTTTTTTAAAGATTTTATTTATTTATTTGACAGAGAGAGACACACACAGAGCAGGAACACAAGCATGGGGAGTGGGAGAGGGAGAAGCAGGCTTCCCACGGAGCAGGGAGCCCGATGCGGGGCTCGATCCCAGGACCCCGGGATCACGACCCGAGCTGAAGGCAGACGCTTAACGACTGAGCCACCCAGGTGCCCCAGTTTTGTTTTCAACACACTTCTATTATCCTTGAAACAAAACTTAAAACCTTATAAACGGCTGTTATTTGAAAGGCAATACTGAGAAAGTTAGGTTTTCCATAATAGCTCATTCCAACTTAATTGAGGTATAATAAAGTTTAAATGTTTAATTTCTATATTAGTGTTTATTTCCCAAGATACTTGCCCAAAGATAAGCACCATGTGAAAGACCACATATTACAAATAAGATTCAAATTATCTGCACAGAAATGTTAATATGCTTCTTCCAAAAGCTTGCACAATCTAATGGCTTCATACTTTCACCTTAATTTTGTTGAGGAATAATTTGTTTTCTAAAGTGATGTCTTTGCATTTCATAGGAATTTAAGTTAGCCTATTTAAATCGACAAGGCATGGTCTTATAACCTACCTTTATTTCTTTTTTAAGATTTTATTTATTTATTTGACAGAGAGAGACACAGTGAGAGAGGAAACACAAGCAGAGGGGAGTGGGAGAGGGAGAAGCAGGCTTCCCACGGAGCAGGGAGCCCGATGTGGGACTCGATCCCAGGACCCTAGGACCATGACCTGAGCCGAAGGCAGTTGCTTAATGACTGAGCCACCCAGGCGCCCCCTACCTTTATTTCTTTATATCCTTATAATTTGTTCCAAGAACAATTTGGGGGGAGAAAGGTATTATTTCTTCTGTAATACCAAACAAAAGCAAATTACATAAAATAACAGATAAAAGGACAAAGTTACCAGATTCTATTATGAAATGCAATCATAAAGTGGTATCTTGGATAGACCTTAAACAATTGAATAGAAAATTGCATCTTATCTTTAAGTTTATATGCAAATCATCTAAAATAGATCTGGACTATGTCCAAAAGGACACCTGAGAAAAAAATTATACCAGGTCTCCCACTATGCAATTTTAATATTTATAAAATCATGCAGTGTCCTAAAGAGTTCTCAAATGTTGATTAAATAACTTGATAATGTGGCAAACTCCAGCTAATAGTTATTACTAACCTACAAAAATCATCACAGTGGCTAACCTTTACTTAGCACTTAGAAAGGGCTAGGTTCTATTGATTACTGTTTTATTACTATTATATTCATAATGAAGAGAACTGGGGTTTAGCCAGCTTATGCAATTTGCCCAAAGCTAAATATAGCTAATAACTGAGAAAATCAGGATTAGAACTTATTTAGAATTTAGAAAAGCAAATAAACACACATTATCAACTTTAAAGTAGCACTAAAAGTCAACAATCATTTATAGACAAGAACCTATATTTAAAAATACATATAAGAAGCATTCTTCCCATTTGCTAAATTTGGTATTGCTGAGTAATTTTTAAATTGTTCAAAATCCGGACTTTGTTCATCATATAATCATTCTAAAATACTATTTCCTACAACTATTTTTTGAGGGTAAGACTGTATCAATAACACCTCTCTATCCCTGGCATATGATAAGACATAAATGTCATCAAATGATTCATAGCAGTATTTTAGTAGAACACTCATGACTTTAAAATGAAAACCATGAGCTTTTCCTATTATTTTTAGTTTTCTACATAATACATGAGTTTTTCTGGTTAGCTTTAGATCAGATATGAGTATAAGAAAAAAAATAGACCAAATTTTTCCTTATCTAAGTACAAGTCATATCATCCTACAAAGGAGGGAAAAAAAAGTTAGTTTTGTTTCTGAATCTTTAAAATGGATGTTGAGAAAGTCACTGAAGAATTCTAATAATGAACAGAATTCAGAATCCTTCAGGTTTCAGATTAAGTATCACTTTATGTGAGCAGCTTGCCCTAACCATTTCCTCTGTGGCTCACATAAAATGGAAGACAATTCTACTATCAGGATAAGCCTTTGAGTTATTTTTCTCCCTAAAGTAAACAAAACAAAAATTACATCATCTAGTTGAACTCTTGGTCAGTCAAAAGAGCCTTAAATTTGTTCAAAATATACTTTTTATTAGAAAACTAGCCTTTTGAACCTAAATGTCTTTTGTTCAGACTTGGTAACTAGAATAGAATAGAATCTCTAGTCTGACCAATTTAGAATTACAATCTTAGGAACTTAGAATTTAAACGAGAACACTAAAGTCAATCCAAGAAATGTATCAAATACTCTGAGATGTCAGAAGAAAGAGTGGCAGCATCTGTCTAAGGGAACCTGTCAAGTCAGCTCAGAGGCTGAAGGAAGTGCTTGCCTACTTCTGGGCTCAAAGCTCAGTCTTCTAGCTCTTCACATTTTCTCCCTTGGGGATTTAAGTCAAACTCCTCACTTCAAAATCACCTCTAAACAGACTGATGACTTCAAAATTTCTTACCATAGCCTTTCCGTCTGACCAGAACTCCTGTAGCATGTTCCTATTTGCCCGTGGGGCATTTCCACTGCATGCCTGTCTTGCTATCATTTCCAGTTCATCCTACCTGAGGTGAATTTAATGCTCCCTCTTTCTATTGGTGGTACTTTTTTCCTCCAAAGCTCAAAAATCACAAAAGTTCACCAAATTTAATTGGGTTCTTCTTCACAGTATCTCTTCTATGAACCCCTTCCTGTACCTTGCCATCTACTCCCAGTAATGCCCTGGACTGATTAGCAGAGGCTGATTTACCCTCTTTGTAGAGCCTGTTCCCAGGACTCGAGTGGACCAATATTCCTCAAGCACAGCTTTCGCCACATTCCTTCTCTGCTCAAAAGATGGAAACGAGCAAAGGGTGGGGGTGTGGGGGGAAAGAGAGACAGACACACATGCAAACCAAGAAACAGACTCTTAACTCTAGAGAACATGCTGGTTACCAGAGAGGAGGGTGGGGGATGGGTGAAATCAGTGTTAGGAATCAAGAAGTGCACTTGTGATGAGCACTGGGTGATGTATGGAAGTGTTCAATCACTATACTGTACAACTGAAATTAATATTACACTGTATGTTAACTAACTGGAATTTAAATAAAAACTTAAAAAAAAAAAAGATGGATTCTGTAGAGGCTGCTTTTAGATAACAGGCTTGAGTGATGGAAACTTGACCCAGGCAAAAGGGCCCACAGTGACCCCTGGCTGAACACAGACGGCCCATCAGGCGACCCACCTCAAAATATCCATAAGCCTTAACTGAGCAATGGGCTACTTACAACCAGGTACGATTACCAAAAAGGGGAGACATTCCCTATGTCGTCAGACCTCCTCACCTTCCCCCTTTAAAAACAGCCCCCACCCGCTGCCTCATGGCAGACAGTCTCCTCTGCTGTCCTGCCTGCAGCTCCCTTGTGGTGTGTTCAATAAGCTGCGATCGCCTATGTTCTGCCTCAGGTGAATTCTTTCACTGCCCCCACACCATGTATGCTTCCAAATGATCATCGCCCCACATTTGGGGGCCCCTGTCCGATTGGAGAGACACTGCAGAAGGAAAATATCTCTGATGGTTAATTTCAAGTGTCAGCTTCACGAGGGATGCCCAGACGCTGGTTAAACGTTACTTCCGTGTGTGTCTGTGAAAGTGTTTCTGGGAGAAATTAGCCTTCAAGTTGAACTGAAGAGACGGTCCTCCCCAGTGTGGGTGGGTATCATCCAATCCCTTGAGAAGAAAAAGGCAGAGTAAAGTTGAATTTACTCTCTGCCTTCCTGAGGCTTGAGCTGGGACACTGATCTCCTGACCTCAGCATCCCTGGTTCTCAGGCCTTCAGACTTGGACGGGAATCTACACCATCAGCTCTGTGGCTCTCGGGCCTTCAAACCACACTGCTGGCCTTCCCGAGACTCCTGCTTGCCGGTACTGGGGCTTCATAGCCTCCATTATCATGTGAGCCAACTCCTGATAATAAATCTCATTCCTACTGGTTCTATTTTTCTGGACAACCCTGATTAATACACCATTCAAGGAGTAGCCTGGTGTTGGAAGTCCCTCCACAGGAGGCCTCAAACTCCCTCTCTTTTCATTTCTCATTACTGCTCCTAGAGCTGGTTTCCCCCTCAGGCCAAGTCAATATCCTCAGCATCCCCAGAACACTCCACAAGCCTTCCTAATCTCAATATGGGGGGGGTGGGGGAGAGGTGACATCATAAACTTGTTTGTAAAGCAGTTAACATATTAGATTCAGAATTTCACACATCTGTTCTAATGATCACTTTTTAAAAAGTAGATACATTTCTCATGAAAGGGAACACCAGACGATTAATATTCCAAACTTTGTAATTTTCATTTTCATAAAAGTATGAAAAGTGAAAATTTCATTTTCATAAAGACATGGGAAGTGTTTGCAGTGCAATATTAGGCTAAACAATTAGAATAAAAATATATGGAGTATAATCTTTATTTTGTAAAACATACACACAATGCACACAGGACTTAAAGGAAGATACGGCAGCGTTATAATTAGTTGTCTCTGGATACCAGGATCACATGTATAATTTGTAAATGTAGATTTACAATATACAGCACAGTTCCAAACTCACCTTTACAGACTATTCTTAGCTACACAGTCTTTCTGTTTAATAAATACTGAAGATACAGGTCTCCGTGACAGCAAATATGCTTCAGAAAAGACCTCCTATTATGAATGCTTTCTGTTGCTGCAATGGGGTGAGTTTTATAAAGTTTCTAGCTTTGTGTACAAAAAAAGAACACTCTTGCCCAGTTTTCAGTATCCCCTTCCTCCATTGGTAGCTCTTATCTTTTTCTTCATATCCCATCTTGTTTTTCATATCCATTCATATTTTTCATATCCCATCCTCTTCTTAATCCCAAATTGTAACATCCAGGATTAAAAACTATCTGCTAGCTTTCCTTCTTATGAAGTTTAATTCTTTCCATTCCACTTATACATAAGTTATAGAAGCTTTTGCTTTATCAACTCCTGGATTGACGATGGCTTATATAGATCTTTCTTGACTTATGAAAGGGTTAAATCCCAATAATCTTATTGCAAGTTGAAAATATTATAGGTGGAAATGCATGTAATACACCTAACCTACGGAACATCATAGCTTAGCCTACCCTAACTTAAACGTGCTCAGAATGCTTACATAAGCCTACACTTGGGTAAAATCATCTAACACAAAACCTATTTTTATAATAAAGTGTTGAAAATCTCATGTAAATTACTGACTACTGTACTGAAAGTGAAAAAAACAGACTGGTTCTATGGGTACAAAATGATTCATTGTTTACCCTCGTGATCACCGGGCTGACCCGGAATGAGGTTCCCTGCTGCGGCCCAGCATCATGAGAATATCTTACCATACGCTAGCCCAGGAAAAGGTCAAAATTCAAATTCTGAAGTAAGGTTTCCACTGAATGATTACTGCCTTTGAAACACTGTAAAGTCAAAGAATCCTAAATCAGACCATCGTAAATCAGGACCATCTATACATTTTGGTTCTGCTAGGACACCTGAATTAAATTCACTACAGGTCCTTAATAAATATTAGTTGAAAACCTCACCACCACCAGCATCACCAAAAAGGGTCCTGATCACATCTAAGGGGGAAGAAAGTAACATTCTGCATGTTTCTAAATGACACATGTATATTCCCTAGCCCAGCTCCTGTTACACTTACCTACTGTAAACTTGAGTTACTAAATTGTTGATCTGTTTGTCAATTTTATATTTGCGGTAATCTTCCAAACCATCTTTTATTGCAATAATTGTCAGGACCACCACGAGAGGTAGCATTGTAATTTCCTTTTGGAAGGCTTCTACCAAAGGCACCCAGTTCAAGACAGCTAGAAACAGGAAATATAAATTGGCAGCCCTGCAATCCAAACACACACAAGGAAGGGTTAACAAATCACATAAAAGCCTAAAGCAAAAGGAACAAAAATATCTCAGGACATTTTCCTATGCTTCCCTTAGTCGATTTTCGATGCTACAGAACAGAGAACTAGCCAAGCCTGACGTATCTGAACAACCTGTCACTCCTGTAGATATCCAGCTCATGGCTTTACTGTAATAAATGAGGTATTCTTTATTAAATATACGATAGTCAATATGTGTATGACAGTCTTGAGTTGTGAAAACATAAGAAGCATCACAGAAAACACTACTTTCTTTTTAAAAGCTCAAAAGAGGGGCGCTTGGGTGGCTCAATCATTAAGCATTTGCCTTCGGCTCAGGTCATGATCCCAGAGTCCTGGGATCGAGCCCCGCATTGGGCTCCCTGCTCCGTGGGAAGCCTGCTTATCCCTCTCCCACTCACCCTGCTTGTGTTCCCTCTCTTGCTGTGTCTCTCTCTATCAAATAAATAAATTAAAAAAAAATCTTTAATAAATAAAAAATAAAAGCTCAAAAAATTTAGAGGAAATTCAATGTTAACACATTGTAGAAATAAATTTTTCAAAACCCCAACTCTCTAGCCTTCAGAAGTTAATTTGCATGTCCAAACATTAGATTCAAACAAGGCTCAAGATAAATAGAGATGCCTGGGAGGTTTTTTTTCCCCTTGAAACCAACCCTTCTATTTCAGCTTTTATGAGATTCATTTCTTCAGGAACTTCTTCCACTTCTTTATTTTATATATTCAAATACTCCTCCACTGGCCCCTAAGGTAAATTCAAGTAGCCCATTTCCTTAAAAGAAATAGAATCTCAATCCTGCATAGCCCCTCAAGTTTTTATCACATATTTTCCTCATTAACCATTAAACTTCTCAAAATTAATTTACCCCCATTTCTCCTTCCTCACCTCCAACTCCTTGTATTCTGAAAATTCTTACTTCCCCTTTTTTGCTACTTTTTTGGCCTCAATTATTTCCATGTGGACTGTATCCAAACCAACAGCACTGACCCTGAACTCTGTTCAAGTTTCAGATTCTAATTCATAAAAGACAGAATCACCCATAGCATGTAAAGCCATTAATTCAGCAAATTCACATCTATATTTTAAACGTACCCATCATTCAATAAATGTATATGGAACCTATATACAGTGAATAATGAGAATATATGCAGAATGAATAATGAATGTTGAGAATCTGTATATTCACATTAGCATCTCAAACTCAACATTTATAAAAACCAAATCATCTAGCCAAGTTTTTTTTTATTCCTGTCTTTACTTTTTCTGCTAATCCTCCTGGTCATTCTCAGCTCAGTATGTTCATACCATCTTTTTACTTAATTCCCTGCATCTAATCCATAATATCTGTAATAATCCTTCTTTCCATTCCCACATTTTTCTAAGCTCAGGTCTTGCCACTCGCCAGGGTATATATAGCATCTCCCTAAATGTTCTCTCTGCCTTTGCTTTGTTTCTAATTGTGCCAGGCAGAGGGCTCTACTTTCCAGACCTCAAGCAATGTATGCTACTGCCTTTCTGCTTTTACGTATCATACTCCTTCCCCCAGCTGAAAGGTGCTTTGCCGACACCTCTGCCTTGAAAATCTCACCAGCTCTCCATAATTAAGTTCAAATGACCTTTCCTCTTCTCTTGCTCCATTATTTCTCTTCTGAGGCTTCTATCCTACTTGGTAGCACTTTATAACACTCATCACATCCGCTGTCTTTTCATTGTATACACATCTTGTTTCCCTTGCTAAAAGCAAACTCCATTAGGAAAGGAGTACCATTTAGATATGTATTTCCTTCAATGCCTAAACTCATAGGAGAGCTTCAATAAATACATATTAAACTGAACTATATGTCGTTGCTTCACCTAGTGAAGAGCTCTATTTCCCCATAACATCAAGTAAGAAAAAGCTCAAATTAAAACTCAGCATGGTCTAATGGAAAGAACATGGAAGCAAGAGTGAAAAGACTCAAGGCTATAGGGTCAGCTCCTAATCACTGGCACGACATTGGGTAAACCAGTGTAACAAACTTTGTTTCCTAATCTATAATATGAAAATAACAATATCTTCTCTGGTCAAGAGAAAGCATCTTACCACTTGTAAAGTGCTATGTGAACATAAGGGCTCATCATTTCACAACATACTCTACTAGAATCGTCAAAGAAAATGTCCCAAGTCTTAGCTTAGGTAACATATAATGTCATAGAAATGAAAAATCTTATGTTAACTAGAATAACAAAGAACATGTTAAGACTTTTACCTGTGAAATTGTTCAAATAAATTTCTTGGCACAAAATTTAGAAGTGTGTACTTTGTTGTCCGTATTCGGTTATTCACGTAGGTGCCAGAGTACTTTTCATACTCATCCTTGAAGGGCCAGAGGTGGGGAACAACCACCCGGTGCTTTCCTGCCAGTCTGGGAGGCTGAGAGGACTTGCCCCCGCAGACAAGCAGAGAGGAATAGCTGTATGACCTCTCATCCTCGTCCCTGTTTCTACCGCCCATCAGCTGTTGCCAGTGATACCTGGCCCATTGTAGACATTCAGTCATGTCCAAAATGTGGTGAGATCCAGGATACGCAGGTGATCTGGCAAAACAAACAAAAACCCACTAAAACACTCCTCATAAGCCTCTGGAAAGTCTTAAAGGATAGTAAGGGTAGTAAAATTAGAATTTTTTTCCACATCAAATAAATATATGACCAATGGTTCAATGGGTATAAAGTAAAACTACTCTTTGGAACTAGTAAATGGGAGAAAGTAAAACTAGTCTTTGGAACTCTGTTTTAGCCAAATTTTTTATTAAATAAAGCATACACCTTCTGCCTCAAGAGCCAACCATCTGACCATTTAAGCAACAGGAGACAGCACCTAAAGGCCACCCGATAATCTGAAGCAAATAATCTGGGTTTAATGTGCACAAGTCTCTTAATTTATCTGATAATTAGTTTTCTCATCTTTGAAATGGGAGTGCCACACACGTGAGGCAATTTATGTAAGGATTTAATGAGTAACATGTAAATTATCCAGCATAAAGCCTGATGCAGAATAAGCAGTCAATAAAATCCATTCTGTGAAGATTACAAAAATGCCCACAAAATCTTTCCATCCCTCTATGTACAACCCTTCACCCATCAAGTGATGGAACCCAAGCACTCAGGATCTAGGTGGGGTGATAGGCATGTAAATACATAAATGCAATCCCAGGGATAAAACGTTGTTTGAGGGGACACCTGGGTGGCTCAGTAGGTTAAGCGTCTGCCTTCAGCTCAGGTCATGATTCCAGGGTCCTGGGATCGAGTCCTGCATTGGGCTCCTTGCTCAGCAGGGGGCCTGCTTCTCCCTCTATCTGCAGCTCCCCCTGCTTGTGCTCTCTCTCTCTGACAAATAAAATCTTTAAAAAACAAAAAACACTGTTTGAGACACTGACGTAGTTTGGGCAAATTATTTAAGCTGGCTTCCTTCCTAAACTTCATTCGAAGTTTACAACATGTCTACTGATTATTTTCTCTAAAATGTTGTATTAATCAGAAATTAATAGTTTACCCCTAAGAACATTAAAATTGTATCCAACTTTCATGGATCTGAAATCATAGATCATTACCTACCTGAAGATCTGGTCCAATTACATTCTAGTAATTCTAGTGAGTCAATATTTTTAATAATCCATTCTTCTAGCACACTTATTTACTATACATTGGTCCTTAAGCAATCCAACTGATTACAGTTACGCAGCATCACTTTATCACTGTATTTTAGAAAATAAGTTGAATTACAAGTAATAATCTAAAAATCCATCATATCTTTAAAAAGTATATGATCTAAAGCAAAATAATAAAAACAAGTAAGAGCAGAAAGTCCTTTTAATGGGAAGAATACAATAGCCTCCAAGTATGTGTATCTGTGTCTGGATATTGAACCCACAACATAGATAACCTCTATTACCACTGAGAGAAAATATTCATAAAGTCAGTCTTACCAGTTTTTTTTTTTAAGATTTTATTTATTCATTTGACAGAGAGAGAGAGAGAGCGCATGAGTGGTGGGGAGCGGCAGAGGGAGAGGGAGAAGCAGACTCCCCACTGAGCAAGGAGCCCGCTGTGGGGCTCGATGCCAGGACCCGGAGATCATGACCTGAACCAAAGGCAGATGCTTAACCATCTGAGCCACCCAGGCAACTCAGTCTTATCAGTTTTACATTAATAATGGAAATGAGAAAACAAAACAAAACAAAACAAACTTCTATCCATATCAGGTCTCTGTCCTTTGGAGTTTGCACTCTAAAATATGTGTTCATAAAGAGCTGAATCAGTAAACATTGGCCAAAATAATTCTATCTTTTCAACATAATTTTTTAAAAGCCCACATACGAAGTAATATGAAAAGTCTGGTTTTCACTTCAGTGTATAAAAATAGCTTCTTAACCTATAACTAGTAATGACAGTTTGAGTTATTAAAGTAGTTCATAACATATCCAGAATCTCCCCCAGAATAAGGATGTAAGAAAGTGCTTTATAACTGAATCAGTAGATAATGTAAAAATACTGAACAAATCATGCATTTCACCCCATGCACATCAGGGGACCTAAGACAAACCTCATGTTCTTCAGAGGGTTGAAATTTTATAGTATTTCTAGAAACTTTAAGTTTTCATTTCCAATTAAATTCTCAGTAAGACATAGGAGTGTGTATCCCTCTGGTGTCCACAATCTCAACAATAATATAGATTCTACTTAAGTTTTTAAATTTCAAAGTATAATTTCTTGAGAATACAAACAGAAATAATTAAACAAATACAACATGTGGGAGGTATTAACTTTTGGTAATTTATGGTGTATCTAACAAATAACCCCACCCTCCCTAGTGGTGGTTCACAAAAACAAACAGCTTTTCATTCCAAGGATCTATTCCAGAACCTTCTCTCTCCCCACTCACTCAGTTCCAAAGAGACAAATCTATGACTGAAGAACATTTCATTTGCCAAAGTATCCCCACATCCACCATCCTCTGTGCCTCTTCAATGTCCTGAAACTTTTGTTAGGTGCTCTACTTACTCACATATTGTCTTCCCTCTTCCCCCCCTTTCTTATTCCCAAGAAATTTTAGTGAGGATAGAATTGGGGCTGGCTTATTGCCCTCTTCAGCCATCGACTCTCTGTCCTTCTCTCCAAGGCCAGGCAGCTCATATCTTCCAATGCCTTCCCCTCAGCACTGCCATTCTCTCCTGAAAAGTGATGACTGGACCAAAGGACTGATCTACACAAGACAGAGAGGTTGTTAGTATTTTCACGGGATTGAAGAAAAAAAACCAAATGTGGAGGTAATTGGCAAAAATCCTTTCAGATTTCCAGGTTAGAATTTAAACCATTTTATATTGAGCAGGAATGACCAAGGATCTACTTAGTCATTCTAGTTCAAGCATTTTCAAAATGTGTCTGAATGCACCGAATTAGTTTCAAGGTCTACTAATACGTTGCTATACACACTTTGGAAAGACACTGCGTGTGGTTGTACATGTGTTGAAAGCCTACAAGGAAATGAACAGATCCACTTTCAGCTCCTGTTCTGGTAGAAAGGCCGGCGAAAACAGCAGCTGGACTAGAATGTTCAGGCAGGGCAACACTTTTCCCACCACAGCCAGGAGCAAGGAGCCTTTTAATCCTTCTCCATCTACTCCCAGCAAAGCTAAAAATGTATTAATATGTAGAGAAGGCTCTGGTATTAATGCGCACATAAATATTCATCAAAATTTAAGATATGAAAGGAAAGCAGATCACAGTCATACCTCATTAAGAATCAGCATGAAGCATTATATTTTAAAGCTCAGACTTTACAGAGTATTTAACCTAGAGGTCACAAGCCAGTGGCCCTTAAGCAAAATTCTACTCAGTGACGTATCTTGTATCATGATGTTGGCAAACACATTATACTAATTTTTTTTTAATATAGGACTGATTTTTAAAAGAGATAAATTCACATAAAATTTTGATATTTAGTTTCTCTTAAAAAGAAAAAAAAAACAACCACAGAATATTGGGCATTTATTTTCACATGGTAACAAATGTGAGAAGCCTTTTTACTATAGCCCCTGACCTAACCCTTCATTTTCCAGTTCACCTATTTTAACTGAGTAAATGAGCACTCCGTTCACCACTTTTTGAGAAATCAAATTCTTCCTGCTCTATAGACTCTGGCTCGAATATTAGTTGTATCACTTATTAGGTATGTGACCTATGTAATTAACCTCTGCACCTCAGCTTGCTAATGAAAAAAATGAGACACCATGAAGAGTCATGGGGCACACCGAAGACAGTGTTCATTCTATCCCCCACTCTCCTCTTTGGCAATTTCTCAGGTCATACAGAAGTCAAGGTTGGTAACCCTGTAAATTGGGCTGAGGTCCAAACTTTCAATATATTGCTTCTCAAATTAAATAAAGTTGTCCAACTCTAAGTAAATGCGCAATTGAATATATCTGTTGATACATGGAAAGTAACCAGCATTAAGTAGGATACAAATAGAAGACCAATCACAAAAGACAGACATGACATAAAATGACCTTCACACCAGCTGACCTCATCCTCAACCATTCTCTCTGAAATTCACCCCAACTATGTTCATGAACAAACTGTATTCCACTTGTCTGGTATTTTCTAAGCTTCCCTCAATAACAGTCCCCTAGGCCCCTCCCCTGGAGATCCTGATTAAGAGGATCTAGAATGGGGCCCATGAATGTGGAATTTAATTAGTACCCAGGTGACTTATCAAGAAGGTTGCAAAGCACAGCTTATACCCTGCATCTCTGCAAATGCTGCTTTCTGGAAGGCTGATCAATCCTATCACCTACTCACCACACCAGTCCCTATTCATCCTTTGGACTGTTGTAGCTTGGCCATGGGGTGGGGGGGGAATTGAGGAGGATCCACACAGGAGATACAGTAAAGCATTCCCTGCTCCGCTCCCATTATGATCCTGAGCTTGGCTCAGTCACTGCACTTGTTTCAGTGTTCAGCGGGTGGCTTTGTTCTTCAAAGTCAAGGAACACATCTCATTGCTTTCCAAACTCCCCACCAGAGTCTAATGCTTGGCCAAAGTTAGGTCGTCAACAAATGACTGCTGATCATTGACTTTTATAGAAAAGAGGTAGCATGGGGAAAGGACACAAACCCCCCCATTTCCTCTTTCATGATTCAGCCTGGCTTTCCTTCCATTAGAAGAAGGAATAACAAGATCGAAGTTTGAGAAAACAGAAGTAGTCAGCTTGTGACTGCATTCCTTCCACCTTTATTAATAGAAGGAATCTGCTTCTCCAAGCCTGAAAGACTCCTACAGAAAACCACTGTTTTCTTTCCTATTGGATTTATAAGACCAGTAAGCAATACAGTAGTGATTAAGAGCATAGACTCTGAAGCCTGACTCCGACATCAATTCCTGGCACCTCCATTTGCCAGCTAACCTTGATCAAAGGGTTGTTGTGAGGATTAAGCGAGTTAATATATGTAAAGCCCTTAGAATAGTGTGTGAACCATACTCCCGCGCTAAATAAAGTTAACAAATACGGTGATTATTTGGAAAATGTTCTCTTAAT